TTATCTGATACTTTAGACATGGACTGACTTAGACGAAGTTTTGTGAAGCACCGAATGACCGCATCACAAGAGTGTGGGAACCTAAGAAGGAGAGTGACCTATGAATTGTCCGCTCACCGGCATTGCTACGGAGTTCACTGTGATAAAACACCGTCTTTAGTTCGGTAAAAAACTACGCACGTTTTCGACTTTTCAATCGACGAAGGGAAGATTAGTCCTCCACCATTTGACCTTCGGTGCAGATGTTGGTCAATCGATTACTTGATCAGAAACATCCGCTTGATGCAGTAGCGTTTTCCAGGTCAAAACCATTTTCAGGACTCCATTTTAGACTGTCCGTCACGAAGAGACTGAACCTTGCCGTGGTGTGACGGTTTGCGCACCTCAGCGATCCATTGAGCTATACTGGAGAGTGTCCCGCGACACTCACAGAGTCTCTCATACCAGGTTGGTCACTGGTTACAGGTCTGACGAACACAGTCTCCTGGCCCTCCAGGTTGGGGGTTGGAACATGTGGCGACTTGTTTCGTAGAAATGGTAATGCATTTGCATTTCCCACCAAGCACCGCTGCCTTGCGGTTAGGCTTTTGAGCCAAAGGCTTTGGTTGAGGACCCTAATCGTCTTCCTGTCTAGGGGTGGGCACCCTGGCAGTTGCCCAGCTCTCGTGCAACCATGACATTCATGACCAACAATACTCTCATGCCACATCGGCCGACCCGTGGTGCCATCAGACGGGTCGCCTTACTTGCTGCATACAGCAGGGTGGATAAGCGAAATCAGGCTACTGTTGACGCCTCTCTTCTTTCTCTTTCACATACTTTTTCTTCCCCTCTCTCCATCCCATTACTAACTCTCTCCTTGTAGGCCCAGCACCTAGGACTGAAGACTTCGTTCATCTTGCAATGATTTTGCAACCAATAACTGCGCACCATCTGTTTCCCACATCCTCAAGCATCTCGCTGTCGGGGTTAATCATAGGGACCATACCCTGCGAGCCCTACTGCGCCTACTTAGAGACGCTGCAAGTTTTGGCTCTTAATCGATGTCGGTGATGTTCTTGTTGTCATTTTCTATTCGGACTGCCTGAATGAGTGTAGACACCTCAAAATGATTTTAGTAAGCCAGCGCTAAGTTTCTTCCTCGTTCACTTTTATTCTTTTCTTCACACTAAAGCTTTCAAACAAATCATGGTTGTACAGAAGCTAAGCACTAGTGTTGTTATGCTGTCGAAGATGATGGTGAGGAGTACTAACTTCCTAACACTTGATAGTTATCGCTCGTAGAGAGTAGAAACCCTGCCTAGATATTCTGTCGCTCTTATTTCGTTCGATGATATACTAAAAAGCCTCCGGTATCGAATGGAGATTTATGGTGTTTGTGCCATCGGAAAGCACTTTATATGAGCGAAATCAATCAATTTCAGGCCACTGAATGAACTAAAGCAACAGTTCTGACAGGCCCGCATTGGATCATCTATCATTTGGATAAAGTGGCGTGAGCAGGAACAAAAACAGTAAAAACGTGTTGTCCTCATTTGTTTATGACTTATATTTTTACCTTTTATGCGGCAACCACGCCCAACGGGAACAGTTCCCTATCCGCACAAAAAGAAGACTATCGTCTAGTCGGAGACGGTGTTTCTCAAGGTTGATGATAGTCTATGCTGGCCGGAAGCCAGTTTGAACAATGTGAGTGCACCTGACTAGATTCTTCGAGGTATCCTTAATTTACGTGTAGGCAGTGGAATGCACTTTGGAATGACCAGACACAGTTGGCGTCACTTGAGCTTCACTGTGCGGCCAAATCTGTATGCGTGAACTCCCGTTAAATAAGCCATGGTGAACCGATTTACGGCGGCCTGTAGTTACAAAAACCATACGGCTACTTTTCAACACACAGTCCATTCATTTATGAAAGATTTAATTAAAAAAACAGTTAAACGAATGGTCCAAATAGCAAGTATGACGTCCATCGTCCAAAAATGGAATAAATCAGAAGTCATTGGCTCCCTGAAACTTTATAGGAGCTTCATAACTGTGTCGGAAACAGAGATTGCCAACCTGTGATTTGGAAACAGAGATTGCCAACTTGTAATTTCTGGATATTAAAAAAAAGAGCAGGATAGGAAGAACCTGTTGCTGTACCTTGAAAGTTGCCGGATAAAACACAACCTCCCAGTGCCGCTGTCAGGTGAAAACTTACCAGAGACAAAAAACCCTTTGAAATGAGGAGTTAGTGAACAGTTTTAACCAAATGAGTTGTTTTTTGTGTTATCCCTGGTCACAGCTGGCGCTGACACCTTCCTCTCAAGCTTGCGCCTACATGGCTATAGAAATTCACTCTCGGAAATGCCAGTAAATCACGAGATGAGACGTGACCGTGTCCTGTCAGACGTCTAGCCTTACACAGAAACATTTCCCTGAGGAATACATCCAGATGTTTTCTCCTCGGGTGCCAGGTGGTTTTATCGAATAACAAATACTTCGGGAGGGACAAATGTGAACAAATACGAAAATAACATGATGAATAAGACTTGTGGATTTATCAGGTAAAATGTTCTGCTCTAAGCAGTATCATCACGGCGTGCTGCTGTTTGAAACAGGATTACATGTCACAATGTGTGACCCTTGAAAATATTTGTCAAAAACGATGATCACAATGCCATTTGATTCTTGATATTTTTGTTCCTATTGGGTGTTTGAATGTCTACCCGTTAGTTCGTTGCCCTTGAAACGCACGATGTTATCCCAAAATACGTAAGTTTCGGCTCACGCGAAATCATGGAATAACGTTTGTGTTGATCGATAAATAAAACATATAGAACCTGATTCACGATGCCGCATTGTGGATTAGCAAAGACCGATCGAATTTTGGTTCGTTTTATGTTCCGGCATATCAGGTATAAACAGGCAGGTGGTTCGAGAGACGCAGATGATATGGGGAGAACATTTTGTCGCTCTTTCCCCCTCATCAAAACTTGACAAAATTACCGTTCAGCTGAACATCCCCTGGATGCTTAGCTATCATGTGACACAAGGGGGACCAAAGCACTTAGCTACTGCCAGGTCGCTAAAACAAAGACAGGGGCGGTTAAAATATCAAGGTTAGTTTTAAACCGAGAACCCTCCACTCAGAAAGTGCATCCCTTGTTCACTAGGCAACCTGAAAATCGTCAATCGTTAATTACTTTGTGAGCATGATGTGTGTTTTGAAAGGCGGAACCCGACAAGGATTCAAAGAGTTGAGCAGTGCTCATCCGATCACATCATCCTGCATACAGCAATGGTTAAAATAGTGCCACCGTTCCACTGCAATTGTCCAGAAGCTGTGGACGGCGTGGTACAAATCGCCTTGATAGTATTATTCGATGGTACCCAGTACTCAGGGTCACCAATAAACCTTGGGAAGACTTCGATATCATCAAAAGATAAACACGTGGAAGTTAGTGACATCGAAAAACTCAAGTCGCATAACCAAACTCATTTAGTTTGTTAGTAGTTAGCACCGGAAAACAGAGAATAAATCTTGGGAAGGCTTCGATATCATCAAAAGATAAACACGTGGAAGTTAGTGACATCGAAAAACTCAAGTCGCATAACCAAACTCATTTAGTTTGTTAGTAGTTAGCACCGGAAAACAGAGAACGAATAAGTTTGGTCACTTCAGAGAATTTAATTAATCAACGTCTTCTTCGATTGTGATTGTACTGGGACCGACTGTACTGTTGTACTGGGGTGGCCTTTGGAATGCCAACGCATGGTTGGAGGACCAAAGGAGGTGGTGATGTGTATCACATCAAATTCAAAAGCTTTCATTTTCATATGGAAAGAAAACCTCATAATCGAGAGTTAGTGTAAGAAGCTGTTATGAACGCGTGTGCCATTTCAGAGCAATGGAACCGCGCGAAATACAAGAGGTGCTTGCCTGTCCTCTATTCTCCCAGCGGCATATCGATCCATAAGTTGTTTCCGGATAAGAACCATTTTGGCGTTTAGATATAACGCCCAAATGACAGAAATTTTTGAATGTGATAGTAACGATTCAGTCAAGCATGAAATAACGCTCTCCAGATGGGAAATGATAAGCAAACTTTGTGAAGCACCGCGTGATTTGCCTCCTTACAAACATGTGCGTACAGATTTACGTCTGAAGAGGTGGGACGATTCCCCCGGGATCTTCAACCATTGGTACAGAAATCGTCAAACATCCGAATAAGTACTGGTTTGTCACTCAAATGGGCAATGAGTGCATTCACTTAAGTGTTTGTTCGTAAGAACTTTTGATTAATGTGGATGCCACACGTATTATTTATGCATAGTCAGGAAAGTTCACAGCATGACGGAGTTCCGGTCCCCTCTGGGAACTTGGGACATCCAAGATGTTTGTGCGGCTCCACAGGAGGAACCGATATGAAACGTTTTTTTTGAAACGAACAAAAATACCTTTAGAACGCGGTTAGCCAAGACTCTGTGGAAGCGTCACAAATTTGTCACCATTTGTTCAGATGTTTAGAGAAAACTTCGCCCATGTACTTCCGAAATCCCAGACATACTCCGCAGTTCATTTGATGCAATTTTGGTCACTCTGAGAGTTCGCATTTGTTCCTTCCGCATGATAGTTTGTTCTCGGCGAACCTTCATTCTTGTTCTGTTCTGGACAGTTACGTCACAGTCCGGCAGAGTCATCAAACTTGGGGTAGGTGCCGTCCGCAGACCGTCCATTTCAGTGAAATGGTGTCAGATTCTGGAACATGTAGACAATGCACAAACCACAGACGTGTGATTTATCACTCGAGTGGAAGAAACTGATTCAGGAGTGCCAAGAACGTTATGTCAATTCCCGACATGAAGATGAGCATCAAAAACGAGCGATTCAGCTGGATTCGTTCGTTTCTCCCATCAAAACCAAATTCGTGTGCCAACGAGAGCATTCTAAATTCGCTACTTAAAATAAACTAGGCACTGAAACTAAGCCTGTTTCTCCATGGCGATTCCCCTTAATGTACCGCCTGAATGCAAATCCGTCCACACCGGAGGGCAACTCGTCTGCAGAAACACCAGTATACCGCACTCCTAGAAGCACTTTTGATCTTCTGAAACCTCCAAAGGAGGAGGTGGTATCATCAAATCAGAAAATGATGCAAAGTGGCGACATTTTGACATCGGACAGAGCGGGAAAAAACTACCGTGGAATAACGCACCTTGGCGTCAAGGAGAAATCACTCGGCGAATCGAAAATCTCTTCTATGATGTTCGCGTGGGTTCCGAAACGTGAGTTCGTCGTGCAAATCAGTTCAAAGAAGCTTATTCACAACCCACCCGGAGATTGAATTCGTTGCCTCTGAACATTTTGACAGAACACCTGGGCACGAAGAAAAGAAGCACAACCGACACTCAGTTTGCGGA